AGACAAAAACAAAAAAAAGACGAGTTTGTGGTGCTGTTAAAATTCATGTTTGAGAGATGTTTCCAACTGAAAAGTACTTAGTTGTCTCATTTATAGGGAAAGTTCATCCCCGTCCAAAGCAGTACATTGCTTAACTATATGGCTGCTACTTTTGTCTGCTTCTCCAAACTGGGGGCGTGCCGACCGCAGTGTTCGGTATGTAATACAATGACTTATGGATAAGTACCTCATACACCCCACTTCAAAGACCATACTTATCCTTTTAAAGGATATAACTGGCAATATTCTATATTTCTGCTTTTGTTTACGAATCCAATGAAAATACCAAAATCAGCAACGTGTTAGTCCGTCTATCAATACTTTACTTTCCCCGGTCTCAGCACCCCATTGATTATTACTGAAGATGTAAATATTTAAAACGAGTCATTTCCCTAAACAGCCGGTCACTGTAGTTTCTGACAAACATTTCTCAGACGGGAGTAAAGAGTATATTTATTGAAGACTATTCTCAGCTGCGCTAGAGAGTATTTACAGCAAACAGGACGGGGATTGATTGCAGTGCACCTGCTCATCGTAATGATGTAGCATCACCCAGCGCAGCTGTGGAGCTCTATGGCACAGATTAATAAACTATATTAGGCTTTGACTACACGGGCACTACTTGTTAGTAGGAGTATGACAGCATATTACATTTTTTCCCAGTTATAATTTTGGTACGGTTTTTCAGCACACGCCCACATTTACATCACATTTCTTTATTGTTAAAAGTTCACTGAGCATCTTCCTGTTACTTGTATTAATTGTTTTTCATTAATGTGTTTGGATTAATTATTGTATCCATCAACCCACTATTGTATCTCTCTCTCCATACCTGTTACAACATATTTTGTTCACAGTTGAAATGTTTTTAATGTGCACATTTGAATTTTGTGGTATCTTCCCTCCAACTAGATGCAAAACGCTTTCATCATATGTTGTCCTCGTGAGAAAATGTAGTAGACTATAAGTATACCTGAAACTGTAAGTATACTAAGTATACTACGTTTACTCAAGAGTGGCGTCTTCAGAGTCCCGATTTAACAGGAACTGAGTAAGAGGACTTGAAAATTGTCTAAATTGTGACTGCCTGTGTTGTGAATATGCCCTGGATTTGGTTGGAGATGCCTGGAATTTTAAGTACAGCCAAATACCCTGAATGCATTTTTATGCTTTCAACCTGCTGCTGGGTCCTCAATTATTCAGAATCTTCCTACCTGTCCATCAGCAGATAACTGGACTTTGAGCTGGGTAATACAGGGGCTCTGATGTGCAAAGGTTGGTGTTGAATAGGAAGATCTGCATTAAATCATAATCCTGAGACTTCCAGATCTGTTTCTTGGATTGTAACATTTATCCAGGGGTACATTTATCATACCCTGACAGATGGTGTATGAATTTCAATGCCTTTCCTCTGTGCCTTGGAGACAGTCCGCTGTCCACAAAATATTTTCATGTGTTCGGACTCTTGGCACTGGTTAGAATACAGCCTTTGTGGAGGTGTAACCCTGAAAAGGTTTATGTGAAATTACTGAAAAAATGTCAACAGTGAAGAAATACGTTATAGTATTATATCTTGTTATCTAGTCAGACTGAAAATCAATTGCAACTTAAATCATGCAAAATACAATTATAAACCAATTGACTTTCAGACCTCGACTCACAACAGGAAGAGTAGGAGGAGGAAAAAGCAAATCATTCTTTTCTATTTTTCCAAAAGAGATGAAAGGGTGAGGCCCCGATCACACCGAAACACTTCACTGGAAACGCATGGTCTGCAAAATTATTGTTTTCCTATATGGCGCCTGGCGTGCGCTCCTCAGTTGTACCACGCACCGTGTTTTTCTAGCAGTTTTTAAATGTGCATAGAAGTTTAAATATTCTCAACTTTTCAGCACCAGGTGCGAAGTAGCGCCGCTCGTCAATGTCATACTTGCCCCAGGCAGCGAATTTTATCAAGCAAGAAGCGGGTTTCACTACTTCACCACTGCCTTCCTGTTGTCTCACCGTTCGATGTGGTAAGGCTACCTAGCTAGTTAGCTAGGTAGTATGTGAAAAGGAAGGGGGAATTCATATACCATGTTGTGATAGTTCCATGTGTGGGCTACATTGAGCAGGCAAGTGAGCGCATTATACATTTTCCATTAATCACATATGATGGGTTGCCCACGCTCCAAAGGCGCACCACGCCATTTTGTCTGACCTGCTTTGCCAAGGTGTTTAAGCGGGAAGGTGTGATCAGCCCCTAAGAACTTAACCTGCAGTAGTTTATCATTTATAATATGAAATGCATTTATTTTCATCATAACTGTAGTTGCCTCTTTTTTATATTAATATTACTCTACATTATGCTGTAGCTCCAAAACGAACTAGAACGTTAAATAACTCATTTTAGTAGAGGGGAAAACATTTCAGAAACACACTTTCAAGTCACAGTGGAAAGAGAGAGAGAAAGAGAGAGAGAGAGAGAGAGAGAGAGAGAGAGAGAGAGAAAGAGAAAGAGAGAGCAGATGATGGACGGAGAGAGAAGAGAGTGAGACAGCAGCATATGATTGAGAGGTGAACGCCACATGAACTGTATCTGAAAATTGTGTGCGAGTTTATATTTCTATAAGCTAATGTTAACATGCAGTGGTGGAGGAAGTAGTCAGAACTATAGGGTAAAGTAGTACTACTACAGTGTAGAATACTCTGTTACAACTTAGTAAAAGTCATGCATACATGATGAAGTGCAGAAGGACTCTTATCTGTGTTTCCTTTTTCATTAGGTTGATACAATGCAAATCCAGAGTGGCAGAGTCGGCCTGCTCTCTCAGCCTCTTTAAAGACGAGTCAGTGAATGCTAGTCATAGCTAGTGATGTTACGTGCTGCGCCGAGGCTTCGGAGTAATAAGGAATAATCAAAAGTGTGTATCTAGGATTTTATTGTTTTGGATCAATGACGTCTTTGATTACGCTCGAAGCCTAAACATTGAGAAATTATCGTTCCTGAACAAACATGAATAAAGTCTCCCCTCTACCCAGTTAAACCACTTCACAGTTTTAGAACACTAATATTGCCCCTCCAGCCATTATTATATTATGATACAATTATTGACCAAAGAATCTATTTCTACACTTTTTTTTTGCAAAACTCACAAGGCAATTATATTACTGGCACAAAATACAGTAGCCTCGATCACAAATTACATGGTTGAGATCATCTGTAATAGATCTGCTTTACATCCTCGGCAACAAGGTGGTTGTGTGTGTGTGTGCATGAGAAATGAACCCTTTTGCGAACCAATTTGCTGGAAAGCTTCAATGCTTAATGAAGCTACATCTCGCCATCACTACTTTTAGCTGCGCCCCTCTTTCTGTGTAACCAAAGGGTTGTTATGTCCAGCCATGTCTGCCTTGTAGCAGTGTGAAGAACCATGGAGACACAGAAACCTGCTTCCTGAGTACCCTCTGGGAATTTATGAAGAGAGAGCAAGAGAGCGTCCAATGCACTTCTCCAGGGTGCCTCATTTTTATTATCAGCGTTTCCCACACATAGACTTTATGACACAATATACTATGACATTATACACTATATATACTATACCCCCCACCACCACTCATAGAAAAAGTTAATGTTAAGACAAAGAAAAAACAATAAAAACGGATGTCATGCTGTTTGAATATTGCTAGCAACAGGGCTCAAGACCGTGACCAAAATGGTCACAGATGCAGATTATTTTTGCATTGCGCGAGTTAAAATTTTACTGCGAATTTATGCGAGTGCATGACGATCATTATGGATCAGAGACATCAGCCACAGTCTATTCCATCCTCGCCTCCAAAGTCTCAAAAGTCACCTTGAAGAGCGAGCATTGAGCAGCTGCCAGCTCCTACGGGGAGGGTCGAGCTCCCGCTCATTGCAGACCCGTGCTTAAGGGACAGTATTTGTGCATGCTGAGCAGCGATGCTCTGTTGCGAGGTTTTTCCTCGCGCTGTGTGCTGGTTACCTGGTTTGAAGTGCGCAGGTTGAGACTACACACCATACACAGCTTTGGACAGTGTGGGATGCGCATGTACGTACTGGCGGAGCACTTTACGATACAATTCATCTTCCAAAAATGAAGCAGTCGACCGCAGATTATATCAAAAGCAAAATAATGAGAGGAGGAGGCCGGTGGGGAGCGAGAGACAATGAAAGGTTCCGACTCACTCGCCACTGATGGTGACAGTGCAGGCAGGGAGAGTCAAACTAAGCCAGTGTCATTGATTAACAGCAGTGGTGGAAGAAGTAAGCCACAGCAAGATCGATTAATTAAGTAAATGTACTAAATCCACAATTAAAGAAAACTCAAAATCTTACTAAAAGACAGTATGCAACTATAAAAATCAAGAAAATGTACTTAAAGCTTGAAAGTAAAAGTACTCACTAATGGGCTCTTAAGTTGTAATGTTAATCTACTATTGTAATATATAGCCTATTATATGCAAGATGCATTTTAATGTTGCAGCTGGCTTCAATAAAGCTAATTTTTGTCATTTTGTTGAGTGCTTTAATTCGTACATCTACTGTATAACAATGCATTGCATTTCATATTATAAATAAATGTACTGAAGTAAAAAGTACAGTATTTCCCTCAAATGTATCGGGGAGTAGAATATTGGGATGCGTTGAAGTGATGTTTTCAGTCCCGATACCGATACCTGGGCTTTATGAACCGAGTACAGAACTGATACCAGCGTTTAATCAAGAAGCTGTATGCCTCACTGTGATCACTGGGATCTATCTTTTATGTGTAAGGCAACATTGAGCAATATATGTTATGGATGTAACATTTATATGTATTGCATTCTGATAACATATGTCCAACAACGTACTACAGACATATTTTTGTTGGCCAGGCTTACATTCTAGGTGGTTTCTTGACTTATTTTGCATTACAGTACATTTCTGATCACGTGTTTGTGTTGTATGCTTGCCCCAGTTTTACAGATGTTTCAAAGCCCTACTGCGTTGTCAGGCTCCTCGACGAGGCTCCAGCTTAAAGAGCTCCTCCAAGGTTGCCACCAAGACCATGAGGGGTCTCGCAGTTACTGGTCCCCGCCGCACCAATGACTTCCTATACATGGCAGCCTTCCTGGGTCAACCGGTCGCCACCATTCCCCAACTGGGCCCCTCAGTGGAACCAACCATAGATGTCACCAGAGGCCCCTCTTCAGACATCAACAAACCTGTCATATCACTAGTGGCCCACTTTGATGGCTGATGATTGGCTATGACCATGAAATCCCAAAGTCCCCAGCAAGGAAGTCATTATTTATGAGAGTGGTGGTGTAACTGAGGCTTGGAGAGCAGCAGCCTGAAAGTCTTGGTGGATTTAAAGCATCAGCTTTACCCTGGCTAGTAGACATGATGGACCGGTGGCAAATCTTGGACTGCCTCTGAATAATATAAACCCGCAGAAGCTGGGAGTCTGCGTTTCCCTGCAAAGAAAATGCATGAATCTCTCCTGCTAGGAACAGGCATTTAAATGTTCTTATCACGGGTTTTGGAGAAAGCACAGTCAGACTGTTATTGTAATATAAGAGGAATTGTAGGGCTTATTTATGTTGTGCAATATGTGATGTTCAGTAAAGCATTCACTCTGGCATAACAGAGATGTGTCTGAGTGCAGGAAGAGGGATAAGATGTATTTTTGTATTGATTGCTTACTGAATGTGGTTACGAAGTGAGGTTGAAGACCACAAGATGTTTATTACCCTCAGCATTTTGAAGTCTTTTCTAGAGTGGACAAGATTAAAAAGATGTAAGAGACTAGAGTAATGGGAACGTACTGATAATGATTTTTACGGATCAGTCTTTTTAGCTTTTATTCCCCGCCAGTAATTGTATTAATTTAATTCATCACTTCGTCACTTTGAAATGCATAAGTAGTGTTCAATTGAGTGGTTCGTCAGAAGTAGCATTGCTAGCATGCTAGCTCCATTAAAGTTGTGTCAGGAATAGTGACTTAGGAATAGTGAAATAGGTAAACGTTCCTTCAATAACTTTTGTGCATGTGCACTGTTGCAGTATCACATGCAAATGAGGTTGGAGAAAATACCGTATCTGGTAATTTTCAGTCCATACTAATGATACAGATACTTGGTATCTGCAAAAATCCTGAAAATGTATGCCTCTCTGGAATGTTTTTTCAGACAGACTTTTCCACGTGTACTTAAAGCTGTGTAATCTGTTTTTTTTTTAAAACTGTGCTGGATTTTATTAAACCCAAAGCACAGGGCGTACTATGTGTTAAAAAAAACTGATGTCAAAGCCCTTTTAATGTGCAAGTGATCATCAAACATCCTTTACAATGATTAGCAGTTCAGTGCCTTGCTTATAGGCACATAGTAGTCAGCAGTTTACGCAGACAGGCATCAGCTACAGTATTTAAACTATTTGCTTCCACAAAAGTCAGCATACTGTGTTCAACAGTCTTTTAACAACTGGTATTATCAAAGGAAATCCTGACAAGAAACGGAAACTTTCCAGCGTCTCACGGGACATCACGAAAAGACTTTATTCAACGGAACAAATATCTTTTTGATGGAATATGTTTATTCTGTATATATTGATTGCCATGTGCTTGTCTGCATTTTGTTACATGTTTTGATAACTGATGACACTCTTTCTTGCAATACAAAGATAACTGCGGAGTTTCTAAAAGCAGTGCATCGATGCTGTGTCCAGTCAATGTCTAAGCTATAAGTGGTGTGGTAATACTGCATATTGATTTTTTTGTAATTCATTTTTAGCCACTGTTTTCTATGTGCTGTCAAGATCTTGTTGTGATGTACATGAGTTGATACCAAAGCAAAATTTATTTGAATATTTTTTAAGTTCAATAAACGTTTTTGTTTTTTTTAAATCTAAATCAATGTGCAGTGCTTTCTTTTGATGACAACTTGTTTAAAAACTGGAGGGGTCAATATTAAGTAGGTTTAAAGTGTGATATGCCGTATACAGATGAATGGTAGAGATATGTAATACATGTATGTAACAGCATAGTCATAACTGACAAATCTGTTGCTTCTTCACCGCAGGATGCAACTAAATTCTACAACTGGTCCTTTAATTTGTATGTCCGTTTGCTTTAACGACTAATTATGTTAGAATGAAACAAAAATCTGTTCTTAGATTTTTCTTATTCATACTTATAATAGGACTACACTGCAATGTAAGAACAATGCCGTTTCTTTATTCTCGTGTCCTCTACATGGATGACGATGCCGTCTTATTGTCAGGACTTTTAGCTTCAGTCTCAGACTTTTAGCATGATATCATGTGTGTAGCCATCAAGTGCATATTGAAGGACCTTTTACAGGGCTCTTGTTTTAAAACAAGTCCCCTTGAAACCTTAGAAAGTAATCCGGGGCAGATGTTCTCAACCAACTCACAGAGCTAAAGTTAGCTTAATTGGCCAGCTGGCTACAGCTGATAAAGTCAGTTTGCAGCAGATGTCTCTGCTTCTAACTCTCTGAAATCAGGGACCCATCTTTTTAAAGAATAGCAAGGATTTCGAGAGATAAATCTGCCACTATTGTAATTGTAAACTGCATTATGTGCCATCCAAGAAAGGCAGGCTTGATGGGCAAAAAAAGGTATTTAAAAGGGGGACTAGGTTAAGAACGTCACCATTCAGAGTGCAGTTGGGTGAAAAAATAAATAAAAAGTACAGATGAACAATTCCATTGACAAAATGATATATAAACAGGCTTTAAATAAAGGTTACCCTGAGTGAACCTAGTAAGCGGCTAATGAAGTTACTGTCTACTTATTGTTTAATGTAATAAACTATGTAATAAATAGATTTTCCGAGGGGGATATTAAATGTCAGGGTATACTTCCAACCTGGTCACAAGATTTGTTTTATTCACAGGAGATCCTGAAAATACCACTAAGCCATCCCACGTTTTAAATTCGCAGACAAATCAAAGGAGTCCTGTGACTATCTAATTCCCCTAATTGTCCAAAATAACGATGCCAACTTTCCAAAGTCAAGAAGATTTGTTTTCATCTTCAATCTCTTCTCTTAAATCTTTTTAACCTGGTCAAAAAACGCATTGTTCATCTGGCTACAGCAGGGGTGAAAGCAGGTTAAACATCAACACAGAGATGAGAGCAGCCAAGTACAAATGGAGTTTGGTGTTTTTAACCACTGAGTGATTCCTCTGGCACAGCTGGAGATTAAACTCTTTAAACCCTAGCCCTATTTTTAGGCCTCTGCTCGAAAATTGCATTACCATATCTAAAAGACTGTAAATCTGTAACTACAAGGCCTATTTTAATAATGTTGATGGTATAGTACAGGTAACACTTGTGAGATGTGTTCAGATGTGAAAATATTGTGTATATGTTACTGGTTAATAGTGAATGAAGATGGCACACAGCTCAAATTGAAAAGTTTCAGGTTCGCCTGAAAGAAAAGCACTGAAAGCATGAATATCTTTTTTTAAATGACGCAGGTGAAAGCTAAAAACGCTCCCAAATCATAGCACAACATATCAGAAGGCTGCATAAAAAGATTTGGCTTTGATAAAGTGAAGCAAAAAAAGGGTAAAGAGAGGTTTAATGAATCTTGCAAGATTGTAATCCAACGTTGATATCACAATAGTCTTTTCAAACTGTATCGCTCTGCTAACCAAACACTCTGCTCTTAGATCACATTAAAAGCTTTCAACTGGCAAAATGCATGGTGGCTTTTATATCGGGAAGACGTAAAACAAAAAAGCAATAAAGTTGTCACTGAGGTAAGCATTAGCTGCTTAAAAATGTAACAAAAAAAGGTGTCATTTTAAACTTGGACGAAGAAATTAAAGTTTTCTTTCAGAATTCAAGGTAATACGTGTTGAGCAATTGATATACAAATTGTCATTTTGGGGGATGACATATTCCTTTAAACAAAGTAGCTGCTAAAGTAGTGTTTGCTGCCTCCAGAATTGTGGGCTGTAGTATTACACCGGAATTGCTGTTACCACCAGTAGCCATGAGTGTCAACAAACCAACCAGGACTGAAACTTTGAGGATTACAACCAACCGTTGCGGTCTTCTAATATATTGGAAAACCCTGGAGCACTTTTTCAATATAAGTCCAATGTAAACAAATGTGTCCATCAGATGGCAGTTGTGAGGTTTTCTTGTACATTCTCTGAGGTCACGATAAAGATATTGTAAAAGAACAGAAACAAATTGTCTTTGGTTTCTAAGCTTTATCCTTCATTGTTATTATTGGTGGTAACCATAGAGCCATTATCTTTTTTGCTTTGATCAGACTAATTGGCTATAGAGACATTTACTGAAGAAGCAAGCTGCTGAAAAGACTATTCTGTAACTTTTAGCCCACACATGACTTTTGACAAACCACTTGTCATCAGAGAGATACTGTGTGCGGTAGTTAGTTAGGCTTGCAGCACACTTAAGCCAATCATAAGGCTTTAATTGGAGCCATGGGATTCTGTAAGGAGGCCAAGTGGACAGTATCAGGTCATCTGTCCTGTGAAGTCTAGAAGGACTATCGGCAAATAGATCCCACACTGAGGCGTCTGTTCAGACAGGAAGCATGAATTGCTCATGTCTTCATATCTTTTATGTTAATCATTGTATTTGTAGTAAAAAAACAAATGCCCTCTATCAAAATGAATAAAAACCCTAGACAGTTTCTGTCGATTCAAATTAATATATGTATGAAAGAACAAAGGGTTGCACAACAATTCACATTAAAATAATAATTTATGTCTTCTTCATAAGTGCTATTTTCAACAACAGTCAGCTTGTTTAATGCAAGAATAGGTCTGGCATTTGAATACAGAAACAAAATCCAGTTAGAGTGTGAAAGGGAAAATAAGTGAGTCAGCTTCCTTTTTGTGCCACTGTCACTGTGACACCAGCGTAACACCGTAGCTATAATCATCCACAAGCACGGGCCAAGCTCGGTTATAGAATTTAATTACTCAGACGTCGGCTGATGGGGATTAACTGAGGAAAAGTGACAAAACTAGAAGGTTATTAAGGCTGGCCGTGGTAATTGTCCCATCTGGTATTATAGAAATCCACGAGTAAATCCAAGACTAAGGAGGGAAATAAAACATTTAAACTTAGGGGAAATATGACTTTTTCATAAAAACTCATGGACGGATGGATTGATACAAACAGGTGAGCAGATGGATGGAAATGAATGGATAGGGTGAAAAGGGACTACGATATTCCAGAGTTCCAGTTCTATGTAACAGGATAAGAAGTGAAACAGTGTGTGAGGTATTATCTTTTGTGCTGTCACATTTTCACTCTAAGAAAGGTCGTACAATTTACCCGAAAGATTAAATGTACTTGAGCCGAATGTGAAACTTCACAGTATTTTATGGGAGTTTTGCATTTTATGAATATTTATTGAAGTTGTTATGAATGTACACACACACACACACACACACACACACACAAACACACAACTTCTACAATCTGAATGCAATAATTTCAGGGTTTATGACATTCAATTTCAAACATAACAGCTTTGCACACAAACACAAAACTTGATATGCAAGTGTTCAGCACCGTATATAATACTTAAGACTGTTCAAGGGAATTATTCAGGGTGGTAAAAGTATCCAACTATGGAGGCATTTCCACATGTCACATATTTAATATAGAGGGAAAGGTCCATGCTGTTGTTAAAAAAGTAAAGAGGCCATATTGCTCATCTTAAGGTTCATACTTGTATCTTGGGTTTCTACTACAACATGTTTACATGCTGAAATGTTCAAACCGTCTGTGCAGGAAAACCTGTATTACATATTTTGTTGTTGTTGGTGGTGGATGGTGCAAAACGTAAGGTAACAGACGTTCACTTCTCAGGGCAAAAGTTAAGAGTGGCTCCAGTGTCGGTTTTGTCACTCTCCTGGTTATTCAGTGCCAAAATCCCCTACGAGAGTGTTGTGAAAAACTGAATCCATGGTGCATCAGAGCAAGTCTGGTGTTTTGTCTGTTTTGACTGTGTAGCCGCTCGGAGCTGCAAATTTAAGGCAAAGACATTTCCCAAAATCCAATGCATAAGGGATTCACAACAATGCATACATGCAATCCAGCACAATTTCACCTCATTTATTGCAGTCCGACGGTTTAATGTTCACTCTCACAGTCAGTCACGACAGAAAACAAAATGTGTTCCGTCACCACAGTAATCAGTGAACATGTTTGTTCAAGAAAAACCGAGTCTACAAAATAAAATAAACAGTCACTCTCCATTACCATGGAATGGCAACTTATGCAAACATAAGCAGTGTTACAAGGTCAGCCTTTTATTTTCTTTTTAAATGATCAAAATCAGGCCCGGGGTGCCTAAATGAACAAGCCAAAAATTAAACAGGAAGTCAGTGGAACATTTTAGTTCGGCACTAAAACATTAGGCTGGAGCTTCATCAGCTGATTGCGCCAGTTTACTGTTATCAAACTAGAGGCAGGTGAGTTTCCCCTTGTGCATGAAAATGTGATAAAGAAAAGGTTGCTGTGCCTGCTCTAAATTGCCTTGCCTGTTGTGCAGCCACACCTCCAGAGGAATGAGACTGCACACCAGATGGTGGTCCCTGCCCTGCTGCACAAACAAAAGGTCACTTTGACAGTGGGGTTTCTGTCTTTTCTCTCATTATAGATGCAAAATTTTCTCACTGGATACAAGTTTTAAGACTTTGCTGCTCTGCAGTTAAAGGACGTAGGCGGGGAGCTGGAAGGCCAAACAGCTACCTTCCCTGGAAACCTCAAAGTGCAATAAAACAACCGTACCAGCGTTTACAAAGTATATACAAAACGGAGGAACAGAAAGTGCATTTAGTTCAGATCATAACAAGCTCATCCA